CCTTCATTTTTCTCCTAAAGGACAAGGGAATTAGTTACAGCATTGGACATGACACAAAATTTGAAGTGACAAAGTATCTGAGCCCTAGCTTGGATACAAGTTTGTTGATATAGTGAACACCAAGAGTCAGTCAGAACCTGTCCTTATTAACTTTAAAGTCCTAGGTTTAATTCCAACAAAGAAAAAAAAAATAAATGTAAAGCTGTAGCCTCTATATTTTATCTTGATTAGTCAATAAAGGGCAGGGTGGGGACAGTAACCATGTAAGAAAATTGGGTAAGACTCAATTTTTTAAAAATTAACTTCATAATCAAGCTAGCAAGATATAACTTGAAGAAATAAGTTATAAGTCAGCAAAATGGATTTTAACCTTATTTCATATGTAAAATATATGAAGCCTATCAGCTAGTGCTGAAAATAATGTCATTCAGTTATAAACATGACAATGACAGAAACATTCTATGCCACAGGAATATATTTTCACCCCTTCCTTGTCTCCTATATTTAAATAATCAATTCATAAAATGTGATCATTAAAATAAATGTTATTTTTTAAAAGACTGGAGAGCCCTATGGATGTTATATAATTAGGAAATTGAGATCAGAAGCAAAATTCACCCCCTGGAAGTGTTCTCAAATTCCCAGTCTAAGCCTCCCCAGGTAAGTCGGGATCATCAGAGTCCTAAAGAAAATAACCTTGGAAAACTTCAAATTCTCCAGGCAGGCATGAAAAAGGTTTTGACTTAGACTTCTGAGGAATGATACTGTCATAGCATAATTTTCCTCAGACTAATGACAGGATGGTCACAGTAGGAGAGAGATGATAAATATGCTAATCGAAAGGCCTTCGGTGCAGGTATTGAAAGGCCACAGCTACTTTGGTTTTTGTAATCAATAACATCAGGGTGGCAGAAGCGATGCAGCTATAGCATACCATAGTGCTCATCCCTAAAATATGCACTTCAGCTCATCTCAGTCCCGCCTCTCTGCTTCCTTGCTGCCAGCCAGTCTATGGACAATCAGTCCACAAAGCAAATGATGCAGGCTTTCCATATGCAGGATACAAATTACTTTACATAGAAATTGAGTGTTTCTCACCTTTTCATTACTTTCTGTTTCAGAGAAGGAGAGAAAGGGAGGAGGCAAAAGAACTCAATAATTTGCTTTAGAAGCCCACTGGGATTTCCAGGTCTTGTCAGAATAGTAATTGTCCAACCCGCCTCTTCCTCTTATGACTCCACTTAGAAATGCAGAGGAAAATGCAAAAATCAAATAGAAGATAAAGAAGAAAAGTGTTTCTCACAAAATTGTGAGAGATGATTATGTTACTTCTAAAGATGCTCTTGATACATAAATTGGAATTAAGAGATACGAAGTAAAATTCATGGGGGGCTTAGTTCAAGATGACAGACCTTTGAACTCATCTGTACTGCTTCTTGTTAATTGTCATTTAAATTGTAGGGTTTCATGAAAAAGAGATATCCCACTATCCAGATGAATATGCCTTTCATTTCCTGATTGCCTGATGGGCAGAGCAGGCCCAAGTATGTGGACAAGTGGGCTGGATGTTCTGGGATTCTCTCTGCTATGGGTCAACAAGAAGAAAGAAGGTCATGACAGTAGATGTTTCTGAAAAGGGCCTCAGTCAACAAGGCTGCCTCCTTTACTTCAGAGTCTGATTCTGAGATGGGAGTAGTATTGAAAACATCCAAATGATTAATTCACCTGCCTCCCTCGAAAAGACCCTCTCCATCATCTCTTTTCTGAAGATATGCTCTAGTACCTGTCAAAATGTAGAATAGTCAAAGAGCATAAAATAACTTTCTCATGCACACACACCTCTGAAGAAAACCATTAGCTTCCAAATAAAAGAGCTGGCTGTTTCCTGGATGAGAAGGAACTAGGTATGAAAAAGAAAGCCCTTGATTTCACAGATCGGCCTGCCTAAAATCAAACCTATGGAATCTCCCTCCTGCCTCCCACTCTTCCCTCAAAGCTGAGTTAGGTTTGGTAAATGCCACTGCTTGCTAGCAATGGGAACCCTGTATGTCTGCTTCTTGTCAATGGGATGTCACATCTCTCAGCATCTTCATTGGTAAAGGACACATTCCAGACAAGTGCTAACAGAAGCAGTGGCACCTGTTCTATTGTAAATCGGGTCAAAGCAATGAAATCCCTCCTGAATTTCTGGGGCCTAATCAATAATTCTGCTCTAATGAAACCATAAATCAGAATGGATTTACATAAACAGAGTCTCACTTGGTACCTCGACAAATAGCAAGTGATGGATTTTGCATTAAATTATAAGACCTACCTAACTATTCTGTTGGTTACCAATAAATGCATCGCTCTGAAAATTCCAATCAATCTTTAGATATTTCTAAAGCATATCAGCTGCATATATACTGATAGCCATGAAAGCAGATAAACCAGGGAAGATATTCTGATGTAATAGTTAGCCTATCACTAATTCTAGGGGCCATTTCTGGCTATCGACATACTAAATTTTCCTAAGAATTTTACCAAAGCTCAGAGCTCTCATGACCAATCACAGAAAGCTTAAGCTGAAAACATGCAATGATGAAATATACAACATTTTCATATACCAGAAGGTGCTAAGGGAGGAGCCAACAATTACAGGCTTCCACCTGTTTTTGTAAATAAAGTTTCATTGCAACATAGTCACACCCATTCATATACTTATGATCTGTGTTGCTTTCTTGCTAACTTTCTTCGGTTAGTTATAACAGAAACCCCTTATTGGCAAAGCCCTTTATAAAGAATTTTTGCCACCCCAATGCTACAGAAAAGATAGAAAAAAAGAAAAATATGAGGTTACTTGAGCTAAACTGCTATGCTGCTGGGACCTCCTTAACTCTGGAAGTTTCAAAGCTCAGATAAAAAGATAACACTTACTGGGTATTTGAGAATGTAAACTATTTAGGGTAGGTATATTTTTAAAATAATACCTATGAGTTTAACTGGATTTTTTTTTTTAAAGATTTTGAACAGCCGGGCGCGGTGGCTCAAGCCTGTAATCCCAGCACTTTGGGAGGCCGAGGCGGGTGGATCACGAGGTCAAGAGATCCAGACCATCCTGGTCAACATGGTGAAACCCTGTCTCTACTAAAAATACAAAAAACTAGCTGGGCGTGGTGGCGCATGCCTGTAATCCCAGCTACTTAGGAGGCTAAGGCAGGAGAATTGCCTGAGCCCAGGAGGCGGAGGTTGCGGTGAGCTGAGATCGCGCCATTGTACTCCAGCCTGGGTAACAAGAGCAAAACTCCGTCTCAAAAAAAAAAAAAAAACCCGAATCTTCTCTTTGGCCGGGCGCGGTGGCTCAAGCCTGTAATCCCAGCACTTTGGGAGGCCGAGGCGGGTGGATCACAAGGTCAAGAGATCGAGAACATCCTGGTCAACATGGTGAAACCCCGTCTCTACTAAAAACACTAAAAATTAGCTGGGCATGGTGGCGTGTGCCTATAATCCCAGCTACTCAGGAGGCTGAGGCAGGAGAATTGCCTGAACCCAGGAGGCGGAGGTTGCGGTGAGCCGAGATCGCGCCATTGCACTCCAGCCTGGGCAACAAGAGCGAAACTCCGTCTCAAAAAAAAAAAAAAAGATTTTGAACAAATCCTAGGTTCTCGTAATTCATCTAATTCTGCTTAGGTAAGAAGCTGCAGAGAGAAAGTGATACTTGAGCTGGATGTTAAGAATAAGAATAAATGTAAGAGGCTATGAAGGGAAAGGGGTAGGGAATATAAAGAGAATTTAGTTAATGGGTACAAAAATACAGTTATATAAAAGGAATTTATTGGATACTACAATAGGTAATTAGAGTTAGCAATAAATTATTGTCTTTTTCAAAATAGAAGAATTGTAATGTTCCCAATACAGAGATTAATTTGAGGTGATGGATATCTCAATTATCCTGATTTGATTACTACACATTGCATACATGTTTCAAAAGATCACATGTATACCCAAAATATGCACAACTATTATATAACAATTGAAAAATAAAAATAGGCTGGGCGGTGGCTCATGCCTATACTCCCAACACCTTGGGAAGCCAAAACAGGAGAACTGCTTGAGGCCAGGAGTTCAAGGCCAGCCTGGGCAACATAGCAAGACCCAGTCTCTAATATAATTTATATATATATATACCTATACATACATACACACACACACACACACACACACACACACACACACACACACACATATATATATATAAAATTAGTTGGGTGTGATGATGCATGCCTGTAATCCCAGCTACTTGGGAGGCTCAGGCAGGAGGACTGCTTGAGCCCAGGAGTTCAAGGTTACAGTGCGCTATGATCACACCACTGCACTCAGCCTGAGAGACAGAGCAAGACTCTGTCTCTAAACTAATAATGATAATAAATAAAAATTTAAATAAAGAATAAATTTAGGGATGAAGGAAAATCCAGGAAGATTAAGCAAATCCATTTCTTCCCAATAATTAGCAACCAAGTGTTATTTATCTGATGCATCCTTGTAGATAGTAAAAAAGTTGCACATAAATCTAACCTATCAGTAAGGATTCCCCATACACCATTCTCTACCAGAGTATGGGAACTGGTCCAACAGATGGAGCTGAAGAGAACACTTCCCAATCTCACTCATGAGAAAAATGTAATAATTATGATAATGGTTATTATTATAAGAACTATCATTAGCATTATTATAGGAACTATCATTTATTGAACATTGGTCACATGCTAAGCATAATGGTAGGTGCTTATGCATTATCCCATTTAATCTTCACAGCAGTCTTATCAAGTAGATACTATTATTATCCTCATTTTACAATTGAGGAGACTATGAGAGAGGTAAATAGGATATGCAACTTTTTAAGTAGCAGCACAGAGTTTTGGTCCCATGTTATTATCATCACACTATTCATCAAACCCTCATGCCCCCCAAGGCCACCCCCAGCCTCACCCCAAGTATGGCCCACCACCAAGCTTACTTACCTCTACAGACACTGCAGCACTGATTCTCAGGAAGAATATGATCCTTTTCTGAGCAGTTCAAAGGAGGACACACTTCTGTAATTTTTACTAAAACTCCACTCTGGAAGCCAAATATTAAGGAAAGAAAAAGATGTTCACATTTTTAGTCAATGGTACAAATTTATAATGTTCTTTGTTAGTAGCCTGCAGTGGTAACAATATATAATAATTAATACTCCCAGGGGTTCCACTAAAAGCAATAATGTCACAAATTAAATTAATGGGACCCCTGGAATATAAGGTAAATTTTCCTTTATATATCCTAAAAGCCTAAAGTTCAACAGTTTTGAAGTATCTTCTATGAAGCAGAAGGATTCTAACAGTAATGTACTGATAAAGGTTTAACAATTGACTGTTGAGCAGGTGAGGCCTAATTTATAACATTTCCTAATTTCTGTGATGTAAATAGTGACGGCTGATTTTGAGCTATACATTACATCACTGAAAGCAACGTCAGGAAGTTATGTATAATTCAGCTTAAGTGAGCCAGTTCTGGCCCACCCCTGGATAACAGGCATTGTGAACCCAATGATATAGAACATATCTTCCTTACTATTTATGGGTTCTCAGTTTGGATGGAAAGGGAAATAAAGTCTCATAAACTAGAAACCATAATACATAAAGAACAGTAAGTCTAAAAATTGTGCTTGAATAAAGGTACTATAATGTGTCTTAGAATAATAACTAATTCTGCTCAAGTGGGGAGGAATTATAAAGATGCCACATTTGGGGGAACTTGATTAGTGGAATAAAGGAAGACGACACTTTCCTGGCAAAGAGAACAGAGAAGAGCCAAGGTGTGTAGGCAGAAATGAACTGAAAGAGGATGAGTTAGATGAACATGAGATTTCCCCTAGATATAAATAAAACCACTTACAATAACGTGTAAGATATTCACAAGGTGAATCTTTATGACTCTACTTCATCCAAGGTCTTTTTTGTTGACATCACTAACATCTGTATTTTGTTTGATGTCAATTTTTTTTAATATTTTATTAATTACCATTTTTTTAAAAAATAGTGAAAGTCTTATTTTTATCCAAAACATTTACTTTTTCTCTCCCATTTTTAAGGGGATGCTTAAGTCAACCAAGAAGCAAGAGGAAGAAGAGGTGTCTCATTTAAGGCCAAAAGGCAGTTCCCAACATAGGTGGAAGAATAAGGTGGAGGTGTACAATCAAGAAGGGTGCAGGAGACAGTGAATTTTCCATTTTCAAAAGACTGTCATCCCAGTGGTTCCACAGTTCTCTGGTTTGGCAAGAACTCCCACTACATCAGAAATGGGAACAGTAACAATTGTATATGTCAAATATAAATTTCCAACGGCTCATCTTTTGGACTATTTGCACCATGGCTTCCTATCTTTTCTTCGAATTTTGAGTCCAGATAGTCCAGCCTCTGGCATTCTTTGTCTTTTCTTCACCTTTGATCTTTATTTCCAAGGGAATTCTTACTTTTCTTCTTAGAATTGTCCCTAAGATCTAAGAATTGATTCTGCTACTCACTCTCTGCCCCACTTTGCAACTGCACTTCATTTTTACTCCTCAATCCAGATCATGATGGGTGGCCTCGAACCTCAAAAATTAGCTCCAGTCCTAAGGCAAGTGTCCCTACCTCATGTGCCTTACCTTCCACAACAGGAAATCAAACCAGTTATTACAAATCAATGGAAGTTAGTAACCTTACTATTGGCAGCTAAATGTAGAGGAAAACAGAATGCTGAATTACTTACCAATATTGCCTCTAAGTCTATCCCTTCAATATTAATATATTTATTGATAATCTACTGCCTCCTGGCATAAATAAGAGTGGCTGACACTGTTGAATCCCTTTGTCAGTTCTACGTGCACACCACCAGGTTTCTCAATGCTTTGCTGCAACTGGCTCACCTGTCACCCTTAGAGTGCTGTCCTTGGGCACTGGAGCCATTTTGTCCATGCAGAGAGCCAGAAGGTACACGCAGGTTCTACAATTCCCATGCATATGACCCAAAGTCAATGACTGAATGGTGCAGGATATTCTTTACCTCAAGGAAAGACAATCTCTAGGGTAGAATGTATGCGCCAGGGCCCATAGTAGTGGGATCATGGTATGTCTGAACTTTCTTCTAAAATTGCACCTCTGTTCAGTTTCTTCCCCTTCTTCATCTGGCATCCCCCATATCCTCACTGGTTTCTCCTGGGAGAAACTACCTTAATAAAACACTTGTACTGAAATCCTTAGCTCAGAGTCTCCTTCTGGGAGAACCCAAACTAAGACAGTTAAAATAAATTTCACTCTTGCTGTCAAAAATCAAACTGTTAGAAGAGATTATCTCTAGGTGGTGAGATTCTGGAGTGATTCTCATTTTCTTCCTTATATTTTCCCCTTTATATTCCAAATGTGTAAGTATATATTTGTTTTTATAAAAACAAAATGTTTTAAATGCCACAAAAGACTTTTTAAAAATAATCACAAAAGCTTCTCTTTTTGTTAAAAAAAGGCTTGTTTCACTGATTAAACCAGTCAAGAATTCTAATCAACCTTTAACATATTTAATAAGATCATAATCTCAGATATTTAAATTGAGACAAACCTTTTTACATGAATTTGAAAATAATATGAACTGTGATTACTGTTGCATAAGTGCTGCCAAATCCATTTAGTCCAGCTACATAATTAGGCACAAACATGTTATAACTTTATTTTCAAAACTATCTCTAGTAAGAAGTACCTGATAATTAACATTTTTAAATCCTTCTGATTATGGTATGTTATTTTACCACCCCTGGAGTTCTGTGTTGGTGGAAAAATACAATTCCTTTTTTCTTTCTCATTTAGAGTGGCTGTCTCCATGTAATTGGTCAAATATAAACACTTTCAAGTTCTGTTCTAACCATCGTGCAGTAACCTAAATTTCTAGCAACATACAAAACTCACAACTTCAAGTCAAAAATTCTTGCTAGGATAAAGAAATTTTGCAGAAAAGCAATAATTGGGGAAAATTAGTAAGACTGCTAGGAAAGTTTATTCATGTTGATTTTTTTTTAAATTATGTTAACTCCTGGAAATACTTGGTGAAAATATTTGAAATAAGAGCTTGTTTTTTGTCTAATTGGTGTTGCTGAAGCTTTAAAATGATCCCAGAAAAATGAAAATGGATGGATCTCCAGGCATCCTTTTGTCAACTGACAATCTTCATCTGAATGACAGAATTCAAAAATTATTTTATCAATTATTTCCTCAATCCTCCCAAGGATAATATTTTCATAATATTATTTTAGATGCCTAAGAGAAAGTTTAATTTATTGCATACAACAGACTCCATAGAGCATTAGGGCTGAAATCTTGAGAAAAGCTGCCTGGGAGAAACCAGAGGTCCTTTGATCCTATACCTATAACCCTCACTCTCTGTTGACAATACCCATTAAATATGTCCCAAAGCTCTTCCATACCCTTTTATCCATGCTACCTTTATCAGAGGAAACAATGGGCCATAGCCTGACCAATCTGATATTCTCAGATAGACTGAAAAGTACTCAGTCAATCCTTCTCGATCTACCCTTCTAAAATTCAGAAATTAGAATTATTTCTAAGTCAGTCTAACAATGTCAAGAGTGGCAGTAGAAAGGCTAAGAGAGGAGGCTGTAGGGCAAAACCATGCAGGTTCTGATCCCAGCTGGCTCACTCACTACCTATGTGGCTTTGTTCTTCTGTGCCTTGATTTTCATATTGGAGTATTACCTTCTACCCAGAATTATTATGAGATTTAAGTGAGACAAATATGTTTTAAATGCTTTAAATTGTGCCTAGAAAATAAGTGCTCAAGAAATCCTAAAAATTATTGTCAATAATTCTTTCTTGTATACAAAGCATTTAGTAAATAACTATAGAAAGACAATAAATGGAAAAATTAATAACATTTTGCACAGAATAAAATTATTCACATACACTCACATACACGCACACACACATTCACTACTTGTGCAAGAGAATAATCTGTCTTCCCCAATTTCTTTCTAAATTTAAAATAAAAAAAAACAGTAAAAGGTGAATCCAACTGTGCAGAGCAGCTGCAATGTGCCGTTAACAGTAGTAAATGCTATCTAAAAAAGCTGGCATTCAAATCCATGCCCTACCACCAGAGTAGGCAAAATTGCCTTTAATCATCCCAGATTTTCCTGAGATCAAAGACAGAAGCAAGGATTTTAGAATCCAACCATTTGCCCTTCCTAGAAGTAAAACAATGTTCAGAGAGCATGGTATCTGTCCTAAATTCAAGAAGGACATGCATGGTCATGTGGAATAATAAAAACAGCTCACATTTATTGAGGATAGTCTTTGTGCTAAGCACTGTACTAAGCTGTCCATGTGTTTTATCTCATTTCATCCACACAACATCCCTGTGTCAGAATGTGCCAGCTATAGATTATTGACCACTCCACCTGCTCCCGTACTCCCAGCCCTGGGAGCTTCCTTGTTGATCAAGAGATCATAAAGCCCTTGCTATCACACCATCCCTGCCCCTGCCACTGAGTGGAGAGCCCCTATACCCAGTATCAACTGATGCAGAGAGACCACCACACCTGCACATCCACCAGACTGCCTGGACTCATGAAATCTCTGGCATTCCTAGCAGCAACCAAGAGGGCAAGAATGGGAATCAAAATAGGGAGGTTCAAGGAAGCTAACCTTCAGGGTACAGTCAGGCCAATGAGAGACAGAATATAGGGAATGCCTTTCCTTCCCAGCCCTCCGTAAAGAACAAGATTCAAGCTCTTCTTTTATTAGTATCTCCTTGAGTGCTTCTACAAGTTTCTAAATGCCTTGTTCTTTTCAATCTTTAAGATACATTCCTGTCTTTTCCCCAGGGATGTGATGAAAAGAAAATGAAATAATGTAGGTAAGAGCACTTGTGAAAATGGTCTTTTCTGAGACACAGTGGTTTCTGTCAGCTTCTTAGGAGATGCCTCACAAAGCCAGCTGTGCTTTTGTTGCGGGGTCCTGGTTTTTCTGATATGCACTGTCTTGTACTTGCTCTCCTGCCGTTCCTTCCATACTTTCATCTGTGCCTCACTTATGCATTCCTAGAACTATACCTTTTCCCCTCCTCTATCCACTCCCATCACCACCAAAGAATAAATACATAAAGCTTCAACACAAATGCCTAGGCCTCTGGTTCTATTATCTAGAAACCAGTATCAGATAGGTAAGAAGTGTTACTATTCTGACAGTGTGTTCCAGCTAATGTTACACAGAAAAGAAATGGGTTAGACAGTTCAGCACAAGGCACTAGGCAAAATGTTCCACATTTCTCCAGGGCTAGTGATTTGCCTGTAATTGTCTTTCATTATGTTGCAGTGGGAATGATGAGGAGAGAAAAAAATATGCAGGAGGAAGTAAGAACCTTCACTTTGGCTTCATAATCTAAAGTGATGTTCTCCAAGCCAGCTCTTACTAGAACCCAATAAGGGAGAAGAATACAAGGAACCCTGAACTTCACTAACAATTAGGTAAAATTTCAGGATTTAAACCCAAGCCCACCTGACTGCAGATTTTCACCTTTCAACCACAATGCTATATTGTAAAAGTAATTCATCTTACCCTCCTACTCTCCAGAGGAAAGAAGTAAAGCCACTGGATATAAGTTATGGAGGGTAGATTTTCACCCAATTAAAGGAATTCTCTGATTCCTAATGGTTTCCAGCCATGGAAATCCACTAACCTAGTAGGTTAGTAATTTCCCATTATGATATGTTGGAGATGGGTTTTTTATTTTGTTCTGTTTTGTTTTTGTTTTTGTTTTGTTTTGTTTACTATTTTTTTAGATGGAGTCTCATTCTGTCACCCAGGCTGGAGTGCACTGGCACGATATCAGCTCACTGCAACCTCTGCCTCCCAGGTTCAAGTGATTCTCCTGCCTCAGCTTCCCGAGTAGCTGAGATCACAGGCATTCACCACCCTGCCCAGCTTATTTTTGTATTTTTAGTGGACACAGAGTTTCACCATGTTGCTCAGACTGGTCTTGAACTGCTGACCTCAGGAGATCCACCTGCCTCAGCCTCCCAAAGTGCTGGGATTACAGGCATGAGCCATCAAACCTGGCTGGAGGTGGATATTTTCAAGCAGAAAATTATATCACAAAGTTTTACTACAATAGCTGTCTCCAAAGATGCCTGTCTACCTAATGAATCGTGCCTCCTGGTATTCATGCCTTTGTACTGTCTGTCTCTACAATAAATCTGGCCTAGGCCTGTATAACCCTTAGACTGTAGAAGAAATGATGTTCCAGTTTTGAAGACTAGGTTATAAGAAATATTGGCACTTTCACCTTGGTCTTTAGAGAGTTTATTCTGGGAGAAGCTGGCCACCATGTGAGAAATCCCTGAGACCGCCATGGTATAAAGAAGCCCAAGGGGCTGGGCAACGTGACTCACACCTATAATCCTAGTACTTTGGGAGGCTGAGGCTGGCAGATCACAAGGTCAGGAGTTCAAGACCAGCCTGGCCAAAATGGTAAAACCCCATCTCTGCTAAAAATACAAAAATTAGCTGGGCATGGTAGTGTGTGCTGTAATCCCAGCTACTTAGGAGGCTAAGGCAGGAGAATTGCTTGAACCCAGGAGGCAAAGGTTGCAGTGAGCCAAGATTGTGTCACTGCACTCCAGTTTGAAAGACAGAGCAAGACGCTGTCTCAAAAATAAATTTAAAAGCCCAAGGTACCTATGTCTAGAGGCTGCAGAGAACAAGGCATACTCATACTCATACTCATACACACACACACACACACACACACACACACACACACACGGAGAGAGAGAGAGAGCACCAGACAGAGACACACAGAGAGAAATCTCCTTCTACTCATCTTTTTTGGGGTACTAGTCACAAAAGCAAAGAAGCCATCTTTGATAGCCAGCCATGCCAAGCCTTCATAGGATTCTAGCTCCAGCAGCCATCAGATTGCAATTGCATGTGAGAACCCAAGTGAAAATCATTAAGCTGAGCCCATTCAATCCATGCAACCATGAGAAAGAGTCATAAAATGTAAGTTTCAGAGAGTTTGTGTAGATAGCCAAAATCCAATCAAACTCAAGATGCCTAAACCTGACCCCATTTGCTCTCCACTCCCTCCTCACCCACAAAGCATGTTCCTCCTCCTGAATGTCCCTCTTCCAGCATCAGTATCTCATCATTACCTAATAAAGAGAGCACTTAACACATTTTGGCTTCTCCTGATCCAGTCTCCCTTCCCATGAGTACCACAGCGTTTTCTTGGGAAATATTTTCTCTATTGTATGCAGTCTTATTGAGGTGGTAATTCCAGGTAACTGGCTCCTTACACAGAGGAAAGGGGTTGAATTCTTCTCCATCCTGAACAATCACAGCTTGGACATGTGATCCAAACTTTGCTAACCATATGTCCTCTCTCTGGACTTTAAATCTAGTGTAAGTGACTCCAGGACAGTAGAAATGGCTGAAAGTCACAGCAGTAATGTGCTTGCCAGGATCCCCGCTGCTAGACCACTGCTATGGTTTCTGTTTCCTAACTTCTGGGACTCCTTAGTCTCCACCTTGTATCAAGCCTGGTCTGGCCCTTTGGGGATTCTGTGAGTCTCCCAATATAATTTTAATAATATCGTCATTTTTACCTACATTAGCCAGGGGAGGTTTTGGCTTCTTGAAGCCAAAAACAGAAACTAGTATTCCCTGCAACTATACCAGAAACCTGGACATCATCTGGACCGTCCCATCATGTTAGCCTTCCCCAAACCCAATCACTTGAGTCCTTTCAATTCCATTTCTTAAACAGTTCTCAAATCTCTTTTCCCCTACATCTTCACTCTCACTACCTTCGATGAAGACCTTAGGTCATTTCTTACAATTATTTAAATTAATCTGGTCCTCCTCTAGTCACTCCCCACATTGCAATGATAGTGACCTTTGAAAATGCACAGCTGCTCATGACACACACACACACACACACACACACACACACACACGGGGAGCGAGCGAGAGAGAGAGACAGACAGACAGACAGAGAGGGAGAGAGAGAGTGCAAGCACTTCAGTGAACTATCATTTCCATTAAGATCAAGTCCAAACTAGGTTCATTCTCACCTGCTCTATCTGTCCAGGTTCATCTCTCATCGCTCTCCCACATGTGCACTAGAACTTCACCCAAGTAAAATGATTTGCAGTTTCCTAAGTAAAACCTGTCTCTTTATTGCTCTAGGCATTTGTAAGTGCAATTCCATTTGTGTGGAACATGCTTTCTCCCTCATCTATCTAGGAAGCAATTGCTGGTTAAGTGATCACTCACCCAATCAACTGCATGGCTGGATCCCACACCTTACCCAGGGCTTTGTTCCAAAATTACATGTCAGAGAGGTCTTCTCAGTCCACCCATCCCCACCTCAAACCCCTCTATTCCTTCAGCCTACTTCATACTTTTATAAAATTTGGCATATTATATATTTGTTTAATTTCTTACTGTCTGTCTCACTCACTCAACTGTAAGTTCTACAAAGACAGTGACTTTATTTCATTCACTGTTGTATATCCAGAACCCACTATAATGCTGTCATATAGCATTTGCTTAATGCATATCTGTTGAATGATTATTGAATGAGATCTATAATTTTACATGTCTTATTTCCAGTAATACATGGAAGGGGGGCAGGCAGAAGAAAGAGGCATTTTAACAGTATATCAGCCCTCTGGGAGTAGAATTGGTATTATTGCCACTAGCATTACAGATGGATTCCCCTAGCACCAACTCAAAACCCTTTCCCAGGGCCACCCACCAGCCTCCCTAACTCATAGTAGCTGTTAGTTCTTTCTTCTCTCACATTATTCCCTTAGTAGTTTCTTCCAAGGCTCCCTGATCCACAGCTGACCAAGAGCTAAGCACATAAATGACAGTGGCTGAATCCTCCCCATCCTGTACTCTAGCCCACCACAGAGAGTTCTGCCCCTCAAGGACCTATCCAGGCCAATATGCCCCACTCAAGAACCTTATCTAAAGCCCACATATCAATCTATTCATTTTCCAGAAGTGATAGGGACCATAAAATTAAAACTTACTCGGCATTCCCGACAGGTCTTGGTTAAAATCCGCTGGCCTTCTGCAAGAACTTTTCCTCCATATATACATTTTGCTGTAATAAAACATAAAAATGGGTCAGACAGTCATGCTGTGCAACAAAATGACCTCAGAGGTGCCTTCCAACTCCAACAGATTCCACAGAAACCTAGATTCTCTGCTTCTGAGCAATACAAATCTCTTTGTCTAAAGTGAAAGACATGGAATTGTGTGGAGGATAACCCTTAAATCTCCCTGGCAGGCCTCATCATGATGGTGTTTGCCACGCCTTCACAGCCAGGATATACAATTATTTCAATGTTACAGTTGCCAAAGGAACTAGAGAATGAATTGATGTAGTAAGAAGGCAAAATGAGAAAGAATGGTTGCAGGCACTGTGGAGTACAATTAGCAGTAGCTTTGATTCAGACACTCCAGCTAAAACAAACAACTGGGTGAAAGGGGACTCACATATATTCCATTCCTCAGAACCTCAGCCACAATGGAGAAGGACGCCACTTCCTTTTCTTTGTGATCATGGGAGTGGGAGTGAGAAACACACACGCGAAACAAGTGAGAAATGCAAGGAAAGCCAGCCTGTAAGGTGCTAGATCAATGCACTAGAGAGACTGCCTTTGGAAAGGTGAGCTTAAAAGGCTACCAGGAAGGCCGGGGGGACACTTGTAAAACATCTCAAAGAGAAGCATAAATGGAGCTCCTACCACTCAATTTAGATTCCACTGAAACTCATTTCTTGACTTAACTGGCTGACTTACTTTTTTTTTTTTTTTTTTTTTTTTTTTTTTTTTTTTTAGGCAGAGTCTCACTTTGTCTCCCAGGCTAGAGTACAGTGGCATGATCTCGGCTCACTACAACCTCCACCTCCCAGGTTCAAGCAATTCTCCTGCCTCAGCCTCCTGAGTAGCTGGAATTACAGGTGCGCACCACCACGCCCAGCTAATTTTTTGTATTTTTAGTAGAAAGAGGATTTCACCATGTTGGCCCCAGGCTGGTCTCGAACTCCTGACCTCGTGATTTGCCTGCCTCAGCCTCCCAAAGTGCTGGGTTTACAGGCATGAGCCACAGCACCTGGCCCAGACTCACTTTTAAGCAAGTACAGCATATGCCAATTTGATACCCCAATATAACACCACCAAATTCTCTAGACACTTTAACAGGAAAAAATAACCAAAGATCTGGTCACTCCCTCTTCTGCCCTGATGAGGATCCTTCTAGCTCCAGCTGTAGGAGGAACAGAAGCGACGATATGCACTTTAAGAGATCTCTCCCACTAATTCGGTGTTGGTTGTATAGAACCACCTCACTTTTCAGAGCCACTATATCTGCATCTGTTTTAAAAAGGGTCTGAGCTGGGCACAGTGGCTCAAGCCTGTAATCCCAGCACTTTGGGAGGTCGAGGTGGGTGGATCACGAGGTCAAGAGATCGAGACCATCCTGGCCAACATGGTGAAACCTCGTCTCTATTAAAAATACAAAACATTAGCTGGGCATGGTGGCACATGCCTGTAATCCCAGCTACTCAGGAGGCTGAGGCAGGAGAACTGCCTGAACCCAGGAGGCAGAGGTTGTGGTGAGCCGAGATCGCACCATTGCACTCCAGCCTGGGTAACAAGAGCGAAACTCCATCTCAAAAAAAAAAAAGAATTATAAAAAGGGGCTGATTAAATTTGATGGTTTTCTGGTTATAAAATCCTCTAATTCTCAAAGGATGTTCAAGTATTCTTCATTCAAATAACATTTCAGTGCTACTAAAGGGAAGGCAACATGCTAATTGTGATATAACTTTGCAAGAAACAACACTCTTTTCTCATGGAGCTTACAATCAGGGAAATAGACAGCAATTACATAATCACATCAGTGAATGTATAATTACTAAGTGTGGCAAATACTATGTTTGCAGATGAAGAACCTAGACCCCTTTAGATGTTGAAGAACAAGAGCTGAAAGACAAAGAGGGTGACCAGGTAAGATATGAAGCTTTCATTCCTGCCTTCCAGCAAAAGAAAAACAACTTAGTAATCATCTAGTCCATTTTAGCCACAGGAAGAGGAAAGTCCAAGAACATGCTTTACTTATCATCATATGCTGTAGTGATGCTGTGCTATTTGGAGATCTCCTTCCATGAGCAAAGGATACATTCTTACAACTGCTGTGACAGTTGGCGACTAACGGCTCTCCCCTGAGTGGAGATCTAAGACTTGCATAGGGCTGTAGAGAGCCACCTTGCCCAAGGGGAAGTTCCCTTGGTTGACAAAGATGGTACACAGTGAGGACAACTCTGAAAGGACATTCCAGCTCCAAAGTTCCCTGTAGGAATGAGTTAGGCATTTGTTGTAACCACTGCAGCTCAACTTCTCCTTCTGCCCAATTCTTCTTCCTTCACCACCTCACTTCTATGCCAGAATTGATCCTAAGAGCACTTCCTAATAAATTACATGCAAATCTCTATTTCAGAGTTCGCATTCCCTCAGAACCTGACCCGTGGCAACCTCACTCCCCGCCCAAATAGGTTCCACTCTAGTATTCTCCTCTCACTGAATGACCATGGCATGTGTATCCATCCCAGCACCCACACTCCAGTGCCTGGCATCCTTCTAACCTCTCCCTCTTACACAACTCCATGTCCAATCAGTGCCCAAATCCTGGTAATGTTCCCTTCTTAAGTTTCTCAAATCAACCTCTTCCTCTCCATTCCTGCCCCCTGACTCTGTCTTTGTTCAGGCTGCCATCATCCCCCTTCTTCAGGACTACCACAACCTCCTTGCTCTTCCATGTCCTAGTCTCAGTCTTCTCCAGTCCTTCCCCATGTAACAGTCAGACACATATTTTTTAAGTCCAAACATGAGGCCCTGCTTAAAATCAGGGTCCCTAAAGCTCTCAGAATAAAGTCCAAAATCCTAAGTTCAGCAAACAAGGCCATTCGTGAGTCTGCTTATCTCCCAATGTTCATAGCCCACCATTTCCTGTGCTTTCACTCACCCTCCCAAACATTCACACCTCCACATATGTTCTAACCATGCTTTCTCTCTCACTTCTGGGCCTTACATATACTGTTCTCTTCCTCAGAAACACCTGCAGAACTCCCCATCCACCTTCCACTGGCAACCTCCCACTCATGAGCTTCCACTTAGGGCTGACTTTCCTCCAGAACTTGTTCTTACCCTTTAACACTGGTTAATGATTCTCACTTTTTGATTCTATTATACTTGGGACCTAATCCTAACAGAATATATATCACATGCCATCCTAATTTCCCATTTAATTATACACCCCACAGTGCCCCTGCTGCTAACTGCAACCCCCACGTCTAGAATTTTATCCCCAGACCCAAGCTCCATACCTCTGGACTTATTGTGAGTAATAATAAATCATTTTCAAATTAATGCACCTCTAGTAGGTAGCAAAAACCAGTCAAATTTCTTGATCCCCAGGTAAGAGTTATTTCTGGCATTCAGTATAACTTCAAAGCAATTGAGAATTAATATAATAGTCTGGATAGGTCCTTTCCTCCCTTCACTAAACACAGATCTATCCCTGATCATCTTTTATGCCTCAATTTTGTAGATAAGTCAGTTGGCCATGACTCATTGGTCCTAATGAGGATCTGGATTTTCCAGTTTACTTGCATGGGGAGACCATACCTCCAAGTCCTGGAATTCCTGTCTAAAAAGTCCCACACTCCCAAATGTGGCTACTGCCAACTTGGCAAGGCAGCTTGCTCCAGAGTGACAGTTCTGCTAAGTGCACTGTTGTCAAATCTACCATCTGCTTCTTGGCCCAGGCTGGGAAGCAAAGAAATAGACATTTTTTCTTCCTTTGTCCCTTGCCACTCCCACAATGGTATTAACACATTTGCTCCCCTGCCTTAAGGTACTTGTCCGAATCCTCTCTTCCCCTTTGACAGGCTCCTCCCAGGACTCCTATCTGGAGAGAAAAACGCCTCATTGTTGACATTCACACCACACATGGAGACACATCTACCTCTCGAATCCACCATTCTGTTATAAAAATTAAATGTCCACTGAGCTTTATGTCCTCACATAGCAGGGTGCTTTGGTGGCTGGTGAATGAGATCAACATGTTACTGCATGCTTCAGCCATTTGCAATCTGGCACTGGTGCAGAATGTATGTCTCTATGAAATTATCTTAGGATGACTTTCAGGATCACCAGTGGAGGTCACAAGAATTTTTCCTGCTTTCTCATACTCATCTCCACTTCTCTGACAACAGCCCTCCTTCCCTGCCACTGCCTTCCTATGCCTGACATCAGTCCTCATTATCCAACCTCTGTATCTACAGCCAAAGGGCTTATTACTTATGTCTGAGAAAATTCAAGCATAAGGTGAGTCAGGCTCTAGTGCCTTTGACTGGGGCATTTGGGACTCCATTCCAACAGCTTACAGTGTGAGTAGAAATGTAAATGGATACCTAAAGCTCTTCATATCAGACTGGCGACACGCAAATTAGAATATTTCACAGTGCCTGACCACAAAATTGAAACCTAGCACCAACATACACTTCTCCATTATATCAGAAACAAATGTACTGAGGGTATGGAGTTATGCAGTTTTATCTTTTTGTACCCACAGACACCTGGCCCTTCAAATTTGACCTTGATTTTTCTAGTGCAATGACTGGACACTTTGGCCATTCGGGTGCACACTGAATAAACAATTGACAGGTACCGCTTGATGTCCCTGTCAGATGTGGATGTAAGGTTTCACTATATTTATTTAGGTATTTGTACCCTGCACACACTCCAGCCATCCCTTGGTACTCAGCAGCTTAGAATGTCAAAATCAGCACACTGTTTTACACTTTAAAGGAGAGTGGCAGATCAGAGAGACTGAACACCCAAGGATCCTTCCTCCCTCAGTGAGCTAATTCACAGCCTTGGCTTCAGATACCACCTCTATAAGCAAGACACCCACATCAAACTAGTTGTCCCTCAGGCATCTCTAACTCAAACATGCCAAACGGAATGTACTGCTCACCAAACTGCTTCCTCCACCTGTCTTATTTCTGTTAATCACACTATGAGTCTCCCGCAGGCT